CAGTTGTGAGTTGCAGGGTGATATGGCTGCTGACAATATATTTATATTATATTATTTATATTATTTTTTTATTAAACATATTTTGAGTAGTAAAAGACTTTAAGTAAAAAAGTATTTTCCATTTGACTAGTATTTCTTACTAAATCTGAAAAATAAGAAAAATAATATGACTAAGAATAACACGTCTCTGTGTTTCTTGAACATTTTAAATCTTAGATTAATTTTAAATGTAAACATAGGCTGGAGACTACAGGCAGGTTGTTTTGAAAAGCACTGTTCATTTTATTATCTCCTCCACAGACATAAACATTTTATGACCCACCAAATCCCATGTCCTTATGGTTTTACAGTTGACTGACCATAGAAACCCAAGGAGGCTGAAGCCACATCACATTCAAGGCAGCTCATTAATGAGCCTCTTTCATTTCCTTCCAGCAAGCTGATCTACCAAAAACTCTCTCCACTGAGAATATGAATAGTTTAATAACAGACAGACGGTTACACATTGCACATCTCACCACAATGCCTGTTTACCTGACTAGTGAAAACATGAACATCAATTTTCTAACACTTTCTATAGCCAGAAAACCGCAAACTGTTCAGCATGATTCTTGCTATATTATTTATCTTATTCTTTCATCATATTTATAGACTCCGTGGAGCCAAAAAGCTCTAATACTACAAAGTAAAACAATACTATTTAATTACTGTTTTGATTTGTGATTTTTTTCCATGTGATTTAATTCCAGGATAAGACAAAACATCTTAACCATTTTAATGAACACATTATCTTGTTAGAAAAGACAGAGTGATTCACTATAATAAATATACATGTTAATAAGCCACCTGGCCTAAAACATACTAAGCATGCTGTATACATTTATTTATACATCATCCTGTCTTTTGCAGAATCAGAAATAGATCTGAGGCAGTTTTCAAATTAATATGTTGAGATCCTATTCTCAAACACACAAGGGATGCATTCATTTCAAAGGGAACAAGCTTTGCACTTTCTTGAAATTCTACCATTTGACCCAATATAAAAAAGAAAGCTTCCAAACCGACTTAGCCCAAAGCACAAGAAACACTAAAGAAACTGCAGCAAATTTTAAAGGGACAGTAAGCACCATTTACTCAAGAGTCTACTAAATTTTATGTGAGTGGTCTTCATTCTTTTTCAGTCCCTTTGGTTTATTGTTTGTGCTCTTCAAGAAAGATCTATCTACCTTAATTACTTGTTGTTCTTTCCCACTTAATTACTCAATTGCTAACAGCACCTATTTAGAAAGATCAGCCCATTTCAAAATTCCCACCCTTTTACCTTTTTTTGGCATGACACTGAGAGCTAAAAACTAAGATAAGAACTTTTATAATTGGTTATTAACTTATTAACTCTTAATATCAGTCAAATATATGCAAAACAAGATGATGCCCTTCATGATCAGACTTACTACTCTGCAAAATATCTGACAATTCCAAATTGGATATACTCTTCTTTGTGCTCCAGCAGCTGGCTTGCAGAATCTTCAAGGTAAAAGAGAACATTCTTCTGAGCTGAAAGACACAAACACATTAGTGTTTTTGGTATCCTGCATGCAAAAAGAAAAGAACAAAAAACAGCAGCAACAAAGGAATCGCTATGGGTATTTAATTGCAAGCTCATTCTTCCAGGACAATATCTTTCATGAAACCCTCTTCATGGTTTGTAAATTCTGTGGTGAAATGAATAATTGAATAATTACCAGAAAGAAAAGAATTGAAAGTCTGTACTGTAAAATGCCAAATATCTTATTAATAAATGTAATGTAATCAATGAGGGTTCAGCAATAACTTGTACTGAACAACAATTCGCAGCTCTTTGAGTTCAACAAAGGAATATCCTGCCTTTCCAAATACATCACAGATAGTAATAGGTTTGATATGCTATTTTGATTTAGAGGCAATCTAGAACAAGGACACTTTAAATACAAGTTATGCCTATAAAATGTATGTTAGGTTGACGAAAATTGATTTAATGTTTACAACACTGAAACAATGTTGTCACAAGACTGAAAATCTAGAGTCAGTCATGGGTGAAAGCAAAATACACCTGCATCCCTGAGGGCATGGCTTAACAATGACAGTTTATACTTAAACAGGCTTTTACAGGTAATGCATAACACACAAAAATAATGTGTATAATTACATACAGCATCTATAGCGAGAGAGTTGTACTAAAACTGTGCACACATGCTGTTACCTTGCAGCTATGAAATGACCATATCATAGTAATACTACTTGTTTGGATTAAGTGTCTGCAGAAACCTTTCTGTTCAACATAAAGGTAGTGAACAATATTACGCCAGGACTGCTAAAAATAGTGGAAGAACACAAACCTTCACATTGTCTTTTTTTTCAATAAACATGATGTGAATCATTTTTAACTGAAAAACGGTACCTAATCATAAGTAGTGCAAACAGATGGAACATGAAATACTATTAAACATGCCAGAGGTATGAAAATAAACAAAATATTTACTGTTTTTTAAGGTTTTTTTCCAAGATCAACCAATTATGAAAACAATGTTACAGATTACCTTTGGATTCCAAGATAAAAAGATAAAAATTAATTAACCCTTTTCAGTCTAAAGACGTGGTTACTTCTCCTATTTTAAGCAAGACAATGTAGGTTTAAAGACCACACACAACCACGTATCACAAGCTCGTACCTCTAAATCAACATATAAAACTGTACAAATATTGGTGTCTCCAGGTTAAAAAGACCACATCTGGTCCTTTCTCCTTTCCCTTACAGTTTTGATATATTCTGCACAAAAGCCTCTCACATTACAAGCTTTAAGCTACAATAACAAAGGGTCCTAACATTCATAAATAATCCACAGTATAGTGTTGCTTCCTGTCCATTAACCCACTTTGCTGAAGCTGTATTGCGGGTTTGTTTGGTTAAGAACATGTAGTGGGAGTGAGGAAGATCCCGATGTTCTATTTTGTACGTTCCTTCAATGTTTCATTCTATTTTTTTAACATGAGTAAGCAAACATTATCTTGACCTGACCTGGTGTACGAAAGGGACACGGGCCCATTTGTCTTCACATTTTGCTCTGCCCCGCAGGCTGATAAACTTTAGCAATAATCATCCACGAGCTGAACTTTCACTGGAACTAGTAGTGCATTTAACTTGCAGTAATATGACCTCTTTTGATTTAACATGTGTGGAGAAGACGCTTTTAAGTTCTGTCACCAGAGAGGCAATGAACTACATAACTCCAGGGTGGAGACAAAGTAATTATGTTGGTAGGTATGATGCTTACAGTCCTGTATTTCCATGTGAAATGTTGTATCTAAACAATATAAGGAAAATGAAATTAAATTACAATACAATTTTAAAAGTATAAATAAAAGTTGGCTTCACATAACCAATGATAACAATGATACAGTCAGAATTCATATATTACTCCTCAAAATGTTATGATAATACTGACAATAAGCTGTACAACTCCCAGGTCTTCCTTGGGGCCAGACACAAATGTTAGCAATCCAGGAAGATAACTGCAAAAACACAGTGTTTCTTATTTCCCTGGTGGACAAACTGTGGGTATACTGCCTACTAAATGGCAAATATATTAAATGATAAATCAGTCTACTCTTTTAATAATTTTGTTCTATTAGACTGCTAAGTACACATAGAGGTTTTCACTTATTTTATATTTGTGTGTAAAAAATAAAAATAAGAAAAAAATAAGTGGGGGTGGTTCCTTCTCCAAGGGGCAAAGAGAAAAATCTCTGCTGTACTGCAAACCAGTCAATCTGAGAAGACAACTACAGTAAAAACAAATACAAAGTTTGTTCAATAACCATACACAGTAAAAGAAATAACTTCAGAAATCTTTTCAGAAGGGTCAAAACATTGTTGTATGAAAGATGCAAAACAGCACTTGATGCTACAGTAACAAGAGTTAAGGATCAGGTTAAAGCTGAGCTACTGATTCAATAAATCTTTCCACACTTAGCTTAGGGGTGAAATGTTTGATACTTTCCAATTGTGCTGTTGGCAGACAGTAAGAAAGTTGTCTGTCCATAAGTAGATGCAGAATACATTTACCATTCACAGAAATCATCCTTCAGTGCTACACAGAGAGCACACGTCTGTTGATTTTTGCCTAATATTTTAATTACTGTAATAACATCATATACAGTGCATCACATCATTCCTTAAAACATTAATAACCTATTGAAAAAATGGACTTGAAGTCAATGCAATTCATTTGATATCTTCACAGATTGTCCTTTCCATAGGTATTTACGTACCAGAGCACGAGTTTAAACAGATACTAAAAATACATTTTCAACTTTTTTCTCAGCTACCTTAAAAGGATTTGATTCTAAGTGTTTGGCAGCAGATGCTATAGCCTTAAGGGTTTTGTGTTTTATAAGCTTTTACCTTTTTATAAAACTGGCAAGAGAAAACTTAATCCCTTCCCTTGAGGGCGTAGTAAGGGCAAACAGTTGTTTGATAGTGAGAAAGCAATCAGTCACTTTGAAAGAGATCAGGTCGAATAACTGGACAATACACTGACTCTCACCTACTGTACGTACAGATGTCACAAAACAAAACCTTACATAGCACATATATTGTAATGGATATATACATTTATATATAAATTGATAGACTCTTATAATACACTCATAATAAGGCAAAGGAACAGGGTTTGATCCCTGTCTAGCCATCATGGTGAGTCACAGCACATAAGATCACTGAGGTAACCTTCAGGAATCCTCAAGTATGATCATGTTTAGTCATTTATTTATACACAAAGGTCACATTTAATTACAACTGCATAGTTAGTGTTTTGTACATCCTTCTCTGACTGGGAATACACTGACTGACTTCTGCGACATGACTTTTAGTCATACTGTACCTCCACAGGTTTCTGAATTATTTAAATTCTAACCAAAAATGTTTAATTATATTGAGGTGCGGACATATAGATGGTCAATTTGGATGTATGCTTTTGATCAATATCATGCTGGAAGGTCTATTTTCAGCCAAGGTTTATTTTGCAGAAAGAAACAGGAGTCTGACTATAATGTCCAGATAAATATTGGAGTTCATGATTTTACCTATCTTAACAGGGGCTCCAGGATCCAGAGATGCAAAAACAACCCCAAAATATAGTAAACCATCCACCATATTTCACAATGGGCATGCGTGTTTTCTCATTATGAAATTAACCTTTGTATGCTTTTATCTGACCATAATACTGGTTCCAGTTATCATTCAGATGTATTTTAGGAAATTCAACCTGCCTCTTTTTGTGGTTCCTGTCTGTAGTCTCCAGAATGCTCTCCAACTTTAACCATGAAGATGCATTCCTTAGTGAATATCTTCTCTGTGTTACCTCCTTTTATACCCCAAAAAAACAGCAACCCTTCAAAGGCCTCTCCTATATAGTTCTAGGGGGATCTGTTGCACTTCCAGAGAGCTGAATGTTATTGGAGATTTGTTTTTGTTGGCTTTTATTTAAAGAAACACTTAGAGGTGTGAATTAATGTAACCCTTGAGCTTTCTGGAATTCAGTTTTTTATGACATATATGCTATTATTACTACAGTAAAACATTTTTAGAACTTTTTTTAGGCGAGACACATTATCCAATCCGAAACACAATATGTTGTATGATATTTTTTGTTCCTATTTCATAAAGGGTATGAATAAATCACTACACATGTGAAGTATGCTACCAATATCATTTGCTGATAATAGGATATATCTTATTGAATTTCGGTTTTTCAAGTTCTCCAGCCTAACTTGATAGACCCTAAGACCCAGTGACATTTTTTGCAATTTCAAGAAGATTTCAGTGTATTAATGTGCACTAGAAGCATTTCATTTATTTTGTGTTTAAAGTATCCTGGATTCAAAGTCAAATTACAAAACACTAAAATCTATATGTGAACTGAAATTAATATCAGCATTTCATTAATAAATGTAACTATTAACTTCCAAATTCTTTTTTTTTTACTTACAAGATATTTAGAGCTTCATAAACATGGTTTTACAAACATTCGTTTTAGTCAATTAAATGTAAAAATTGCTTATGATAAAATTATCCTTTATAAGAGGCACACCAAGTAGGAATTTAAATTTGGAAAGATGAGAAGTTCAAAAACATTTTCTTTACTTCACCATCTTATTTTTTTATCTTATTTGAAAATTTGAAGGTATAGTATTGTGATTCCATCCATCCATTTTCTAACTTCTTCTTTTAATTCAGGTCATGGAGAAGCCGAAACCTATTCTGGCAAGCAACAGGCACAAGACAGGGTACAACTTGGACAGGACGCCAGTCCATCATAGGGCAAGTATTCTATTCCAAAAAAGCTAAACTAATCCATTATATTGTTTTATGATAACACAATTAAAATGTAAGTGAAACACCCTGTCTTGGAAGAGATGTGGTCCCAAGAGACTGAGAGACAGGTTAAGCCAGGACCCCGTAGTGTCTCTTGTGGAGGGTCCCATTTGATAATATTGGAGAAAGCCAATTCTAATAAAGATGATTCTCAACTGGGAAAAGAAAATAGGATTCCAATACCTGGCAGCGTTCTGGGGTTCTCTGGTTAGTCAAGATGCACGCCTCGTTTGTAAACATTTACAGTTACAGTTTGTAACTTGTATGTTGAATGTTTATGTTGAGTTGCTTACTGTGCATATTGCATTATTAATAAATGTTTGTTTTAAAAAGACTGAAACACAGTGCAAAAGAAATTAAGATTCAAACTCTAAAAATTCCAAACCATCGAAAACATGTAACTTTTATGAAGTTATTCTATTAATACTCATGCAAAACTACTGAACATTATATATCTTTTTGGCAGCTTGCATAAAGATTATAATTGCTTGAGGCATTTTATATTTTTTTAGCAAGCATTCAAATATGCAGCTTTCAGATGAACAATGAATCTAGTCTTTGGGACTGTGATGTAGCCAGATCATGAGATGCAAATAAAGCTGAAAATGCAGATCTTAAATTTTAATACAAAAGGTGCCTCTAAATGGCTTTCCATCTGTCAGTGAGAATGCGCGATGTTTTATTGAAACAGAATATTTCATAATATATCTGCATAGTTGTATGTTTGAATTCATTAATGACATGCTCTACGATTGAAAAGTCTGTGATATAGCAACCAGTACCATTACAGGAATTGTTAATTGCAAAACAATAAAAGGTAATTATTAATTTAGCTAGGTGTAGTGTTATCATTATTATCATCACTACTATACTGCTGTTGCTATTACAATTATGAATCCTTAGTGCTGTAATTATTATTGCTTAAATAGTAACAGAATCATTAATATAACCTGGTGTCCTGGATAATCTTTACTCTGATCTAATGTTCCCTCTTAATTCTTAATTCACTCTTGTTATGCAGTGGGGCAGAATGACTGCTGCATATCACTCAAGTGGGGCAAGTAGGGGAGTATGTGGGTTGCCTCCTATAGGTGAAGCACTTGGGGCTTCTTTAGGGATAAAATATGCTATATTAACGTAAGGAATTATAACTCATATTGGTATGATAATCTTTTTTATAGGATACCAGGATGGAAGTCTTTCCAGTCTTTGTCCTGTGGATAGTCCCAGTTCTGCAGGTTTTGTAGGCAACCATTACATTGTTATTTTCTAAAGACTAAAGACCTGCTTAATTGTGATCAAATGCACTGAGCAGGCAACTTTAGAGATCATCCGGAACTCAATTCTTCATACTCTTCTGCCCTCTAGGACCAGAGTAACAAAAAATGGAACAAGCTTCAAATACAAATTACACGACGTAGACAGATCTTAAAAATGACCTTAAGAACAAATTGCTGATTAAGGAAAAATGTATAGGCTAATGCAGAAAAAAGCCTGTTATTTTTGCAATATTAACACATCTCTAATTATTACTACAATTCTACGTACAATTTAATATTAGCAGACAAGACCAACAATGTAAGAAACAATTATTGCATACCCAAATATTCATCAACGGTAAGGCTGAAGCGGTCGGGATTCATTTTAATCTCTCATGCAGCAGACAATTATTGATGTATTTAATATTAATAAGGTCATCTATTCAGACCAGAAATGCATCAATCACATTCAGCTGTGACTCGTTCGTTTCCATAACACCAGCTTAAGCAGCACTTGGTGTTTCACATAAATGAACCCCCGGATAAACAACAGCCTTTCAGAAAGGTTCCTGGATTCAGTAGTGTGCGATAAAACACTGTAAACTACAAAATCCCAGTTTCTATAGTTTAATAGAAAATCTTCATGGAAGCCCTGTTTTTCTGAAGCCATGTGCAACCAATCCTTTGCATTTTTTTAAATCTTTTTGATACATGAGTATTCTATTATTTGATACAAACGGTGTATTCATAATAAATATTTCAGAATGTTTTATTTCAGTAGTTCAAAGATTTCACGAAATTTGAGAAAAGTACCTTTCAAACGATAGTCTATAGCGTGTTACAATGGTTTTATTTCAAACTAAATGTACTCTGTTATAATTACTTCGTTGCTATAATTTTTAAAATTAATAGAAAAACGAATGTTGAGTAAACGGGTTCATTGTTTAGTGAAGGACAATTCTGAAATCTTGCGACTTTTAAAGAATAAATC